CAATGATATTATACTATTAATTATAAAAATTAAAATACAACAAATTTATCACTAATCAAAATTAAAGTACAACTAATCAAGAATCTGGGTACTGAAATAAATTCAAAGAAGGATTAACAATGGTATAACCTCCATCAATGAACAGATTATGCCCACTCACGTACCTTGACTCATCACTCGCTAGATAAGCCGCAGCATGAGCCACGTCCTGCGCTTTCAGACTCACCCCTTTCAAATTACCGAGTGAACTCACCAAATTCTCAAGCTCTTCATCATTACCAGGCACACCAAATTTCCTCAACAACGGCGTCACAACGCCGTAAGGTGACAAGCAATTAACTCTAATCCCGAACTGGCCGAGCTCTACCGCTACATTCTTGGTCAGCCCCCAAACGCCGTGTTTCGAACAAGTATACGCGTGTGAAGCTCCGCCGCCGATTCTCGACGTTACGCTAGCCGTCGAAATTATGCTGCCACTCCGAGCCGGGATCATGACACGAGCTGCGTGCTTCATGCCCAGAAAAACTCCGGTTAAGTTAACGTCGAGAACACGTTCAAAATCTGATTTTTCGTTGTCAATAATGCGCGGTTTTGGGCCGTCTCCAATGCCGGCGTTGTTGAACATGATGTCGAGCTTGCCATGGGTGGCGACGGCTTTGTCGACGGCGTTTTGGACATGGGTTTCGTTGGTGACGTCACAGTGAACATACGTGGCATTCGATGAGCCTATGTCCTTACAGATTGATTGACCTAAGTCGTCTTGGATGTCGGCGATTATGACTTTTGCACCGTGACGAGCGAAGAGTCTTGCCGTGCATTCCCCGATACCGCTTGCTGCTCCGGTGATTACCGCTACTTTTCCTTCTAGCCTACTCAGTTTGGTTCCACAAATTAGTGTAATAACATATATATATATATATGCATAAGTATATTACTTGCATCTATGCATTGACTTGAATTAACTCATTTGATCATATGTTGCAAGTGTAATTAATTAACTTCTTAACCAAGCATCTGTTTGTAAGGTTTCATGGTAGATACAATAATTTTTTACGAGGAAATTATTGGTTACCTTGTTACTAGTGTAATTTGATATGTAATTATTAAAATTTATAATTTATACTAAAAAATTAATTACCTTCTTGAAACAGCAGAGAGAAAAGGTGTTGCTGCCATGGTTGATCCTATATGATAATCTGAGAATCAGTTGTGTTTGCCTTTAGAAGTGTGGAAGGCGAAGTGCCTTTGCAAACTAGACGTCTATATATATACACATAATTAATTAATTAAACTCACTGTGGACAAATTAAAGGGGGCTTAAAGGACGAGTAGGATGTGTTTATATATATGTATATATTTAATTTATTGTAACAATGCAGGAGGGTAAAAGGCGTTGGTTATAACAAAATAATTAAACAAATAATATGAAGCAATAAAATTTTGGAAAACCATACGACGCCGTATCTGTTTGTCGTGAAGAGAGGCGAGTAGCAGGTGATTTTGATACTTGCCGGCCTAGGCATGGGTTTTTAATATATATAGTTTAGCTAATTTAATTATTTAAAGTTGGTAATAGGAAAAGAAAAATAATAATAATAAAGGTGCCAAATCTGGAGGCTTCTTCGTCGTGCGACACGTGATTTGAAGAGTAATTAATTAAGTTTGTAATTATGTGAATTTGAATTATATGAGCTGTAAGTTTATAATGTATTTTATAAAAATATATTAATTTTATTTTTTACTTTTTTACTTTGTATTACCAGAAGACATATTAGTTTGTTCCCAGCTTGGGTCTGTCTTGGATAATTCTCAAGATTCTACTTCGTCATGGACTGGCTCCGCCGCTCGGTTCTGATTTTGACGTTTGTTTGTTATGTCACACGTGATTTGAAGAGTTGTTCCGGGTTGGAGCTGAGTTCGCTGACACGGGGCCTCCTGAACTCGGCCAGGGAGCCCGAGTTCTACAATTGGTTGATAAGCATCCGGAGGAGGATCCATGAATACCCGGAGCTTGGTTTCCAGGAGCATAAGACCAGTCAACTCATCCGATCGGAGCTACATGCACTCGGCATTGAGTATACATGGCCCGTGGCCGAGACTGGCATCGTCGCCTCCATCGGCTCCGGGTCTCGCCCCTGTTTTGGTCTCAGGGCTGACATGGATGCACTCCCCATTCAGGTTTTGCTCCTCTCTCTCCCTGGATTTAGTGAAATTTCTTGAAGAAGCTAAAATTGCTTTTAGTCAAGTGTGCGATTGGTAACTTGCTTATGCTACTGTGTGATTGTTAATTTGCTTATTCTACTGTATCATTGTTAACTTGCTTTGATCTACTCTGATTTTGTGGTTATCACAACGATTATTTCATTAGGGCTACATTTCGTTAGTTACTAGAACTCATTTCTGGATCTGATCAAAGTATTAGCCATGAAATCATTGCTTAATTTCTTGAAAGGAATTAGTAGAATGGAAACACAAGAGCAAGATTGACGGGAAAATGCATGCTTGCGGCCATGATTCTCATGTGGCAATGCTCCTTGGAGCTGCTAAGCTTCTTCAACGAAGAAGGGATTCTCTGAAGGTATATTTTTATATCAGATTGTTTACAAATCAGTAGATATTATAGTTCTATATCCTTAATGGCTAATGCCATGAGCTTCCGTTGTGCGTTTTATGGGGTTTGAATCTGCCAAATAAAATGGATGAAATAGAGACTTGTTGGCTGTGTTTAGTTTATTTTCAATTTAGTTCATATACAATAAATTAAAATTTAACGAAATGATCAAAATGACAAGTTAAGTTTCAACTTCTATATCGGTGCTCCTTCCTAATTAAATATATATATATATACTCACAGATTGAAATTGTAAGCTACTAAATTTACCTTATTGTGGGTAGGCAAATTTACAATGTTTCTTCATGTTTGAGATTTGAAAGGGAACTGTGAAGCTAGTTTTTCAACCTGGGGAAGAGGGTTATGCTGGTGCTTATCATATGCTACAACATGGTGCTCTTGATGATATAGATGGCATGTTCTGTATACATGTTTTGCCTTCATTACCAACAGGTGTTGTGTCTTCACGTTCCGGTACGATGCTTGCTGGTGCTGGCCTATTTTCAGCCAAAATTCAAGGTAAAGGTGGACATGGGGCAGCTCCCCATCTGAACAAGGACCCAATTCTTGCAGCATCTCTTACCATTGCTGCTTTGCAGCAGATTGTATCTAGAGAGATGGATCCCCTTGACTCCGGAGTAATAAACTTCTTTCTACTCTCTACTCTTTAAATGATTTTTCAGATTGATTCATTTTTTCTCTATTTGAATTTGATGAGGTATCTATTTCCAGTCCTGATATGATAACATATATGTAAATAGATTTCAAAATCTAATGTTGGTAGCTTAAACAGTTAAACTAGAATGAAAATCCTGAACTTTGAAAGCAACAATCATTAGTTTTTATACCTGGCTTGGTAAATATTCCAAGAGCAACCATGCAGAATTAACGATTTAGAATATGACTTATATGGAATCATACAGGTGGTAACAGTTGGGTACATAGAGGGAGGTCAGGCTGCAAATGTAATCCCAGAAACAGTGAAGTTTGGAGGAACTTTCAGGAGCTTGACTAACGAGGGTCTCCTCTACATTGAGAAAAGGATCAGAGAGGTAAATCCTGCTCACCCTTTGTTACCATATCAGTATAGTATAGATTCTACTATTGATCAAAAGTACTTCTATTTTTTGGGAAGTCTGGTCAAACAAATATTTAAGTTTTTTGGATGACCTGTTCAATGAATTATTTAAGATTTTTAACTTTTAATTCATACCATTCAACTTTTGATTTGAAAACAAAAAAAGAAAATAGGTGAGAGCAGAGGAAAAGGAAGAAGGCTGTGATTGATCTAAGTTTATTCTATTTTTATGTTTTTCTGATAATATTTTTATTATATTCTTAGATTTTAAATATTCAGTCCTGATTATATATTTTATAGATAACAAATGAGTTACGCTCACATCTTCAATTCCATAATCATGAATTTATATGTATATTTGTAGTAATTATGATTGAAATTTAAACAAAATTCAACGTAAAATGGCTGAAAAGGTGAAGACCTGACTGCTTTCAGATCATAGAGTTGCAAGCAACTGTTCATAGGTGCAATGCTGTGGTGGATTTTATGAAGGAAACACCATTGCCTTACCCAGTAATGATTAATGACGATACATTGTACGAACATGCTAAGAAGGTGGGCACGACTTTGGTTGGGGAATCTAATGTGGATACCTCTTTGGTATCCATGGGATCAGAAGATTTCAGCTTCTACTCGAACAAGATACCCGCTTGTATCTTTGGACTTGGAGTAAAGAATGAGACACTGAAATCTGATCAGCCGCTGCACTCGCCACAGTTTGTCATCGACGAAGAGGCACTTCCAATTGGAGTTGCCTTTCATGCTGCAGTTGCTATCTCATACTTAGAGGTATAGTCATGTTGTTGAATAAAGACAATGTAGAAAGACATGCCATGAGTACAATCAACTTATTTGGCACAGAACAGCTAGAATTCCCAAACTTTCTTGTTATTACAAGAAGAATCTTTTTTTCTAAAGTTAGTGTCTTATTTATAATTATTGATAGATTATATGATCTTAGCTTTGTACTATCGTAATAGATTACTAGTTTACGAGTTAGAGCATATCATCAAAGACGTAGAGACAAGGAACTTCTACATTAATGAGCTATTTATGATTCTTTTATAAATTATTGGAGAAAGACTAGTAGCTAATGCCAACAAATTCTTTCTTATCATGAGCTTTCAACAATATTTATGGTAAAAGTATATTATTTATTTATTTTTATTATTATTATTCAATCCTTAATTACCAAAAAAAATATATCTAATATCACAGTAAAAACTAGTACAGTAAATAAGAACAGGAGCATCTTGAAAATCAACTATTGTTTAAAACAAATAGCATGAAGTAAATTAACAATTTTGAAACAAAGACAGACAAAAGAACATTAGATTTTAATCAATTTAATATCTGATACATTTTCCCTTATGCAGTTTCTTCCTTTTCACCCTCCTTGATAATGCTACTGTCCAACCCATTCACTGGAGATGCCATTGATTCCTTCGTCTCATCAATCTCAAACACATGTCCTGCAGCTAAAGCTCCACCAACATCGCTTATATTCCCAAAAATGAGAAGAATCATCCCTAGAAAACCAGCCCCAAATGCCACTCCAAAGGAAACCCTTAAATTTCCAGGAATAACAGATGCCATGATGAATCCTGCGCAGGTGCCAACAGCTCTTGTCCAAGCTAACCATGATCCAAAAACACCTTCCTCCCCTATTGGCGTACAATCCATCAACAATGTCCTTCCAAAAGCATGGAGTAACCCAGCTGAAGTACTTTGAAGAGCAGCTAAGAACATGATTAAGCCATGATTCCAATTCTCACCCTTAAAGTAAAATCCCACCCCTGAAGTAGCTAGAGATAATAAGAAACCTAATAGTTGCATTTTTATAGCATTAGCCTTTACTACGTGTTGCATTAATGGCTGTATGAGAGGGACAGAGAGTGCAGGGAAGATAAAATAAGTCAAGAAGAAGTAAAGGACATGTAATGGTTTTAAGCAGAATTGGCCGACTAGATAGAGCAATCCTGCTGTAAAAATACACATTGATGTAAACGATGAAAGGGTAATTACAATCAAGCTTCCAATTCCATGGTAGTATCTGAAAATGGAGAAAAGATGAAGTTTTGGTATAGGAACTGGAGGAGTAGAAGTGTTTGTATTTGCAGTTAGTCTAACAGTCAATACATGAAAAATCCCAATAAGCCAATTTAAGCCACTTAAAATGGAGACAATCCATAATCCCATGAATCTATCTCGTTGCCTAAGCATGTGGTAAGTGAAGGAGGATATGACAACAGAGCCTAAACAACCGACTGCTGTGGCGCAAACAGAGAGCCAACTTGAAAAACTGCTTCTAACCTTAAACTGGTTTTTATGTAACGTTGGTCCAGTGAATCCGCGAACCATTAGGCCATGATGGCGTGTGTGGGAGGCAATTGAAACAACGTTGGCAATTACGATCACTATGATGTATAGAGGAAAGATCCATGTAACTCTAAATATCCCAACAGGAAAACAAAAGAAAGCGCCAACCACAGTTGCAACTGCTGCAATGAGTTGTTGGTTTGTTCCACGGTCAAAGTTGGTGGAAACAAAAGCCAAAATAGGAGCAGCTAAAACCAAGCCTGTACTCCAAGAAATTGAAGTCCATTCTAATGGCGAGAATTTGAGATCATTAACGAACACTGATCGTTGTGTTAACCTTGCATAACTGTAAATAATCAAACAATGAGAATATTTCAACAGGTATGAATAATGTTATATAAGCGATATTAAAAGAGATACGAGTACTTACAGTTTCATTTCCTCGACCCTACAAGGCAAACCGAGAGAATTTCGAGTCCAACCGCTAGTAGGTTCTGGTGGTGATTGAGAAGGAATTTCACTGATAAGGAGAGGGAAGACAATGGGAATAAGAGCAGAAGGGATCAAATAAGTGCAAAATTCGTACAAATACCAAATCCAAACTTCCCATCTTGAAGGTTTCTCGACAGTTCTTGAATAAGTAGTGTAGGCCTCATTAGCTCTCTCAAGTTTCATGGCAGTGTTGTGGATGTCCGGTGTTTCCATGTCTTTTGATATCTTTATATGTTACTGGTTTTTGAATGTGATGATGAAGATTTAAAGGCAAATTTGCAGAGATGAAGCGAAGGTTACAAGACGAAGACAGACCTCGATTTGTTCATTTATACATTAACATAGATGGGATATTAGCATCATTCTTCATTTTCTGTCTTTATCTTCTATGTGACACCGTGTTTTTATTATTAATTAAAACCTAATAAAATAATATTATAAAAATTTGAATGACAATCCATTGATTCGATCTCTACAAACGGGGATTGGAGATAACCAGCAGTAAAACACAAATCAAATGCAATTACGGAGCAGAGCAAGGTGAAGATGGTGTTCTTCTCTTATCCACCCACGCCGAAGCAACTGGCTCTATCGATCGGATTCTTTCTCACTGGCGCCTCCTTCTTCGTCGCCGGAGCCTATCTATCGCTCAACAACATCGCTCCACAGCAAGCTCGCGTCAAGGCCCGTAGTGACTACGTCAAGGACCGCTTGAGAAAATGGCTAGACAGTTAATCGTCAAGAAACATCTTCGGCTTCTGATTAGTAAAATCATTCTATTCTCTTCTCATATGAAAAATTGACATGTTTTTGCACTTGGAAACCCTAAGATTTTGCCCTGTTCTCTGTTGACAGTAAATTGTATTTGTTTTGTGATTGTACAATCATCATTTACTTTCAGTTAGGCTCTGGTACTGGTATGAAACTTCAATTGTTTGAGCTATGATTGAGCATATCGGATTAGAGAACAAAACTAACCAGTTTGATGGTGTTCCTTCTCTATTATAATTTATGGAAATTACTTTTTAATATCAATATCTAAAAGAGGAAGAATTGTAGCTCGGACTGTCTGCAACACTATCCAAACCCTCAATTCTTCTGCAATTAGAACATTGTTGGATGTAAAATTTTAACCATGAAAATGTAGAGAGGTGAATGATACTAAGGAAAGAAGAATAAGTGTTTCGTAAGTGTTTCGATCAATCAAATCGAATTGCGAAGATTGAACGAGTGGAAAAAATTAAATTAAATGTTGAACTAATTTAATTCACTTTATTTAATTAACTAAAACCAAGGTTTCGTACATATAAATTTGATTTTAATTTAGATTTTCAGGCATAAAAACGATAAAATTTTAAATTTCTCCATTAAAACAACGATTTGATGGCTGTCATTAAATGATTCTTCCTTCTGTAAAACCAGCCAGAGAGAATTTCCCTGCTCGCTCTCTCTCTCTCTGTTTCTTTACTCTCTTCCAGAGAGAAAATGGCGAGGGTGAAAAAATCCAATCATCAAATGGAGGCACTGCAACAAAGAGCATCCAAAGCAGAGAATGCGGATGCTTCGGGCTCCATCGTCAATGCAGAAGAGATGAAGAATTCGAGAAAACGTCGTCGTATCGGAGGTACGAAGGCCAAACCAGAGACCGGCATTAGGATGCGGGTGCAGATAACTCCTAACTGCTGCCCTGGGATCTCTCTTTTGACTCGGGAACTTGGTTACCGCTCCAACGGGCAGACTGTAGAATGGCTGCTTTCCCAGGTCCGACCCGACCTCATCCTTCCCAACCCGAACTCACTCCCGACTCATCGGAAACAAAAACCGGTCTGCATGGCTTACCCGGAAGATGAGAAGATCGTGGACCTCATTTCTGGTGGGCCCAGGCAGCCGGTGAGGGTTACGGTGGTTCAGGCTTCGACTGTGTTCCTCGATACTCCGGCCACGTTAGGTACTGAGTTACTATTATCGGAGATTCAACTGAGTTCCTTCTAATCCTTGTTATCTATTTCAGCTTCGTGTTCTGCTTGCTAGGTTTTGAGTGGTTGTGGGGTTTATAGGAAGGTCTTAGGGGAGAAAACTCAAACCCAACTGGTTTTACGCACAAATTGCTTCTTGAATCCTTGATTCTGTGAGTCCTGAAATCTTGGTTCCTTATGTGATTAAGATACCATGTTCCTGCGGATATTCTTGGTGCTTCTGATTTTTTTAAACTTTAACGTAGAAGAAAATTCTCAATGGCTTTGAGTTTGCAGCAATTGCAGCCCAGTCTACAGTGCCATTGATTCTGTTTTTCTTTCCCGCCTTGAAATGATTTTATAATATTGAAATTTGATATGTTGTTCCCAGTTTTATGTTTTGGTTTAAAGTTGAATATTTCATGTTATAATTAGCATCCGTTATGTGGATTGGGATTATATCTTGGATGTTAATGGTAAGGGGCATATTTAGAGCTTCTTCCCTGTGTTTCCTCTACATGGCTACAAGTTGTGTGAAGCTCCCCTGGGTGCCAGTTACCAAATCAATGCAAACTATTATATTTGCAGTGCTATGCATGATTAGATTATGGTTTTAATTTATATGACCAGATAAAGCAGAGAGATTGGTTGCTAGCGCTGCTGCCTATGGATCACAGTTAGTCGTGTTTCCTGAAGCATTTGTCGGTGGTTATCCATATTGTGTGATGCTTGAAGCTGCATTGGTAACTCATTCTACCAATGAGAATGAAGAGTTCTTAAATTATCATGCCTCTGCTATTGATGTGCCTGGTGAGAGTTATTTGCATTCTAGTAAAGTTAAGCACAAGTTACGCAAAGCAGACTCTCCATAGCAATTTTGGTATTCTGCAGACTAGCATTTTAACTATACTGTGCATGTCTGAAGACGTGACTAATCATTAATTCACCGTGGTATTCTAAAGGTGCTATGTACATAATATTTTGAAGGGATCTATAATTTGTTTTCATAGGCAAAGAGAATATTAATCCCTAAGAGAAAAGTATTAGAAGTATAACTTAGAATTGGAGAGCAAATGGAATGGAAGAAAACACAATTTAGTAGATGGTGAATGTATATTTCTTAAGCAACAAGGTTTTTCATGGGTAGGGTGGATAAGCACCAACTATTTCCCTTCTTGATTTGTCAAATATTTTCTTTACGCTTGTGTATACAGGTCCTGAAGTTGATAGACTGGCGAAGATTGCTGGTAGAAACAAAGTACAGTTGGTAATGGGAGTAGTGGAGAGAGTTGGATCCTATCTCTTTAGCACTATCTTGTTTTTTGATTCCCTGGGGCAGTTTATTGGGAAAAATCAGAAGGTAAGGCTACTAGCATCAGAATGTGCAGTGTGGTGGTCTGGGGGGACATCTTCAGTACTGGTATATGAGGGCCCAGCTGGGAAAATCGGTGGCCTTGTTGGTTGGGACAATAGGATACCTCGTCTGAGAACTGAATTGTATGCTAGAGGTACATAATTTTTGCTTTTATACGTCCTTAGAAAAAGCTCGATTTTACTTTTTCCTTTTCTTTCCAAATTTTATTCAATCACACGCATCATAAGGCCAACGATGGGCAATTTTCTGCCTTAAAAAATTGTGTTATAACCTTCTGAATTTGAGGATTACTGGATTTCTTTTTGCTATAGGAAAGGAAATCAACTTGCAGATTTTTGGCAAGCACGGCTGCAGCTACTACCGCATTTAGCAGTTTTTGTTATCAGTCTTCTTGCCTGGTTGTTATGTCATCCAGGGATATTATAGGCCCTTGGCATCATAGATGAGTCGCTAGACTCTGTATGCCTATCTTTTCACTCGTAAATTTCTGTTAATGGCTTTTATACCAAGATACACTTGTGTCAAATGAACAGATGTTATTCATATGCGCAAAATGAAAATGGGTTATTAATGTACTCTCGTATGAATTAAAATAATGCCTTTTCCTAAATTGAGCATGCCCTTGGGCAGCACTCTCCTTTCTTCAACCACAAGCTCCCTTGGAAAATTAGTTCTTCAAGATTGCTATTCAATCCTTATGCTCTCACAATTGCAGGCATTGAAATATACTGTGCACCTGCAGTTGAAGCGAGGGACAAATGGCAGGCATCCGTTACCCATATTGCCCTTGAAGGTGGCTGCTTTGTTCTTTCTGCAAACCAGTTCTGCAGAAAGAAAGACTATCGACTGCCTGAATATTTTTGCGGAGAAAATGCGTCACAGGATGCCATCATATGCTCAGGAGGCAGTGTCATTATTTCACCGTCGGGAACCATTTTGGCCGGACCTAATTTCCTGGGAGAATCACTCATTTCGGCTGATCTAGGTACGAAAAATGACTTACCATCAGATTTTTGTTGGAATAATTGCCAATCATTTTGCAAGTAGTTGTCTTCACCTGAAGAGTGATTCCTGTTCAAATGAGATTTTCTCGAGAATTTAGTCCGTGGATGTGTTTCATGGAATTCTAAATCGTCTATGATACAATGCTTCCAGATCTTGAAGAGATTGCTCGGGCAAAGCTAGAAGCAGGCATAGGGCATAACTTTGGTTAGATACCAAACAGACCTGTTCCACTTTTGTTCCCCTCTATGTATAGACCTTGTAAAAAGGTGCAGGAAAAGAATTATGTGCAGAAAGATTTTGTTCTCCTGTATGTATAGAATGTGAATGTACAAAAAGGGGGCAGATATAGGGTTGTATAGGCTAAGAAAGTCCCTTGGTTTATATGCCTTTTTTTTGGTGACTCTATATGATTTTTGACTGGGTAGAATGTGCACAATGTGGAGTCTATTGAGATCTAGTAAAAAGAACTTTAGTATATAGACTTAATATTTGATTGATAAATAGTCATATAATTAGCATGCTAGTGAGGCAACATGTTTGGTTTATACTCAATGAGGGGAAAAGAGATGGGGCAGAGGAAAGGAAGTCTCTTATGAGATGAATGGTTTTTCATTGTTGCCATTCATGCTTGTCATTGAAGCAAAAGAATGAATCAGGTGATGTTTTTAGCCTCCAAAAAGGACAAGCAAAAAGCAATAACGGGCGGGACCAAATGATAGATTTGGTGGGCGTCCAATCATTCTTGAGGCAAACCGTGTTCTGGCCATTTTGGAAACAAGGTAACATACACATATATATACATATATATGTTCTTCAATTATTCTTGGTCTGTTTATAAACATGATTGGAAAATGATTTTTCTATAAAATAATTTTTTTCATTTTAACAAAAAGCAACAAAAATCATTTGTCTTTATTCATATTTTGTTTTCAATATGGATTGAATTTTTTAATAATAACTATTTTTTTTTTTAATTTAAGTCATACAAATAATAATAACATACATGATAAATAATTTACAATAATTATTTTTTTATTAATAAATCAATTTTATAAATTAATTAAGTTCTCAATTATATCAACTAAGTATTTTTCTTATTTCTGTTTAAAAAAATTCATCAAAAATTTACATTTTAAAATTAAAAATAAATAAATAAATAAATTTATTACTATAATAATTAAAAAAAAAAGGTTCTAAAAATAAATTGTAATGTAATATCTAACTTGGAAATCAAAATCGAATGCGCTATATATTAAAAGGTAAATTTTTCATAAATCCATATAGCCCATTTAGTCTTTTGCTTGCTTTGTTTTTGAATTGTTATTCTGACAAATTCACTCAGCCATGAATAGCAATCTGATAAACTTGCGGACAATACTCAGATTGACAAAAATGGCTGCTGAGCCGATGATCTACTGGTAAAATAATGCAAAGAAATTGTCCTGGCAAAATATCTAATACTGCCACCACATATATATATCTCCAACACTAGAAGCGTTCTTTGTACAGGAGAAAAACTTGGCTTTGATTAGCACAGGTTTCTATAAAAGCAAACGTTTCAACTAACTGACAACACCTTAACGAATCTAAGAAGCAGCAAAGATTGCAACTTTAGAGCGGCTCTAAGAAGTCGCAAACAAAACATTAACGAGAATAAATTTAAGGAAGACAACTTACTAACTGAACTTTCCGGTACCAGGCCTCAGCTCAGCCATGTTCCTACTCTTGGCTACTCGATCTTCTCATTGCAAGTCACATGGATCCGCAAGATTGATACAAATTAGCATTTCTCACCATCTGGGTTTTCTTGGATTTTGGCCTTCCGCCCTGGAATCCGATAGTCTTGACTTTAAGAGGTTACCTGGTAAAGGAGGTCTATCAAGAGCTGCGTTTGTGGGGTCTCGTGTGGGTCGGGTTGGACTGGCATAAACTCTAGCAGATCCTACCCTTGATGAAGGTAAAAGAGGGTCTTTTGAAGTACCTTTGGCTGATTTATATGCATGCATTTCATCCCCATAAGGTTTTCCTTGGTGCTTCTCCAGATTGGCAAATCTTTCCCAATCTAAATCATCTACCGAATTTTGAAGCTTTTCACTTTGGAGGCCCCAGTCAACTCCATCTGAAATGCTTCTTTGCAGACCCGTACTTCTTCTTGGTGCTTTGCTGGAAGTAGACTTCCTTCCCTTAATGTCGTCCTCATCATACGGAATAGTCTTCCATGCATCACATGCAGCTCCAGGAGCATGAGCCCACTTGAAGCTCCTATTGTTGTTGTCCATATTCAATTCTATGGAGTGAAGATCGCTCTCATCTGAGTCTTCATCACATTCTACTCCATCTTCTACTTCACCATCCTCGTCATCACCTTCCTTCTGATGAGAAGTAAAATGGGTTCTACTCAAATAGGCTGCAATTTCTTTGTCATGTGCTGAATTTGCCAAACCACGAGTCTTCTCTTTAGATTTCTTGGTCCCCAGAAAAGCTTCAAGTTGACTCCTCAGCTTATCAACAGCTGCATTTTTCTCCTCAATCTGGTATTTAGCTTCAGATGCTTTTATTGGGACCCTTTCCTCATGCAACATATCAGTTAAATGCATCATTTCCCTTTCCTTTTCGACGTCTATGTTAACTTTTGAAGGCTCTCTCTTCAGTTCTTCCACTTGAGCTTTATCTCCAGTAAGATCTCTGGCTAATTCATCACATACTTGTTCAATTACTACTCTTACTCTCTTCTCACTTTCAAGTTCTTTCACTGCCTTCAAAAGGGATGCCTTTGCCTCAGATAGCTCCCTTCCAAGCTTCTTATTTAAGCTTTCTGATCGTCTCCTCAGCTTCCTCTCCACATCAAGTTCACTCGCAATAGACTCAATTGCAGCCTCAACTACTTCCTGCTCCTTATTTTTCCAAGCAGCCTTTTCTTCTGCAAAACGTTTCATCAAGTAGCCAATTTCATTCTGATCCACGCGTTGTTCTTGGATAAGCTGATTGACTTGTAAGCGAGCCCTTTCAAGCTCCGCATGTAAAGCAGAGATAAGAGACATGCTTGATGAAGGCCGATCTTCGTGACCCCACATGCGGTTTATTATCTTGAGAAGCTCTTTTGATGTGGTCAAAGCATTACTTACATCTTTCAAACGGGTCTTAGCCCCAACAACAGATCCAGTTGGAGTCTGTACACGGGTCCTAGTCTCAACCTGCATTGTAATAGAGAGAAGATAAATAATACACGTTTTACCACCCCCCATAGCTGAAACAATCAAAACCTTTCAATCTTTTTCTTCTATGCATTGAAATATATCATTAAGGCTAAACCCCAAAATTGAGTGATAAAAGAATTGTGCGCCTAAATGGAGAAAGAAGCTCAGAAAACAATGACAAGTATCAGACTAAATGCAAGAAAACAGAGAATGGCTGCTGAAATGATCAAGACCCTTGACAAATCAAATCAAATCCAAATTTAGCGAGGATATAAAACTAGTACAGTTCTTCACATCTTAAAGCATTTGGACAGAAGACAAGACCATGTGGAAGTTCAACTTTGTTCTTAGTCAGCAAAATTAAGACATTCTAAAAAAAAAAAAAAAGCATTACTTCTACTCAAGGAAAAATAGGAAAATTTGAAAGTTGCCAGACCTCCATCAGACTAACATTGCTGATTGAATCCAATACTCCAACATTCTGATCTGTAAGCTTAAGCCTCTGTGAAACAGATGATGCTCGTCTCTGTCTACTACCTGTCCCCGATCGATCCATTCTCTACAAAAAGTGAGTGATTGACAATGAAAAACTCAATACTTAAGCTTCACTGGTACCTAATCAGACCTAAAAGGAAGCAGGTAGAATTTTGATTCCATCAATCGCTACCAGACCTTGTCTAGAGCATTGTCAAAATTTTAATATCAAAATTCATCAATACAAAGTCCAACCAGAAGAAAATAAGATTTCTGACCATAAGTCATGTTCAGTGACATGGACCCAACAGAGAAATTCTCATAATTGCGTTTAAAAATCTTTTAGAATAACTAAAATAAAAAACTAAGCTAGATTTTACAAGAATAAATCACTTTCAGGAAGCAGAGAAGAAAGAGATAGAAGAGAATAACCAAACACATGCGATGAGATTCCAATTTTTGACATTTTCTTTCCCTTTCAAACTTACCAAGAAAACAAAACGCAGAACTGTAATATATATATATATATCAAAACA